GGCAGTTCGTGAAGTGCTCTTTTTGCATCCATGTTTTCGTGATTGCTATGATCACTGAACCTTGGATTCCAGTTCGCCCCACTTAGCTTTAATGCTACAGGCATTTTTGTACCACACATTAGCAGTCTCTTCCACCTTAGAGTGGTGAGCCTGCCTTAATTCCGGAGAATCCTCGGTCGCAGAGCCCGAGGTACCGACTCGTTTTTCACTTATTTGCCCCCGGGGACTGCATCACCGTCCAAGTCATGCCCCCTGGTGAGTTAATGACCTTCCCAAAACCTAACCCTGGGCTTTTTACTGTGGACCAATCTCCCTGAGCGAGGGGCATTGACCTCTTCGGGCTTGGTCCTTTAGTTGGCGTTCTGAAAACAATAGTTGCCCAGATCTCCGTCGGCAATTCATCTTCGGAGTTCTTACTCCTAATGCATTGGCTAGCTTCCGGTTTTTCCATAGCCTCCTTTTGTGGGGCGGGCTTTGGTGTCCTTTGAACTAGTCGGTGATTCCTGATGGCGTTTCCCCCAGGCCTCACCGTGCGCGGCGTGGATTTGCTCAACCGTCTCAACGCTGAGTGCGTCCCGTCCAGCTTTGTCTGTTTGTCATACAGGCGATGATTGGGTTTCGCCCCACCGTTTATATGCCCTCCTTTTTTTATTACTAACTGGGGTTCCTTGCGGGTTGCTTTCTCCGTGATGATATACCCCTTCGAGACCAATTTAATACTGGTCCCGTCGTCCGGAGTTATTCGTACAGCTCCTATGATGTTTATCTCTATCCTGGTTGCTTTTGCTAGCACCAGGTCTCTCATATAGGTGCTACTGAAAACCACTAATATGGGTTTCGGCTTCTGAGCAGTAAACTCCCTCCAAAGACCCACACGGTGACTCTTCACGTAACGCGTTGTGGGAGGGCAGGTCTGCTAGTCGGAACATGTCCTGGACATGCCTCCTATCGGCTTCATGCCTTATCTTACTATCCCGTATGATAGGCTCCGGGATAGTNGAACATGTCCTGGACATGCCTCCTATCGGCTTCATGCCTTATCTTACTATCCCGTATGATAGGCTCCGGGATATTATGCAACAATATACGCTTCGTCTGACACAGGAGTACTTGTTGCGTTTCTTTTATAGTTCTTAACTCTTTCTCTAGCGCTTTGATCTTGGCATTAAGAACGGCTATTTCTGCCGTCTTTACTGGATTCGCCTTGTCAATTTGCGCTGCTTTCCCTACTTTGTTAACCTTTTGGCTAGCAGCTTTTTTCGGTTTTTTCCCTCTTTTGCAAAGGTCTTAGATGTAGCTGGTGGCTCCGTTTTACTTGCATCCTTCAGTACCACTCCAGTTAATATGCGGGAGCACTCCTCCGCCAACAAAACACAGTGGCTACATATCCATTTCAGCACTGGATGTTTCCCGTGAAGGAAATAATCCTTCTTAGATAATTTGCAACATTTTTCGTGGTACCATGCTTTGCATCTACCACACTGGATGCCATTCTCAACCTTTTCCTGGCAATGACTCATGCCACAGTGGTCATCATTAAGTACCATTTTATCGATATTTTAGAACGAACCGAAATGGGAACAAAAAGACACGCAACTTTAGAGGAAAACCAAAACGGACAACCTATAAAGCTTCTAAACAACAAAAACGTTTCTTAATGACTAGTCAAAACCAGTCAGAATTCAGTACTATGAAATATCTTGCAATATTTCACGGGTTAAGCAAAACACGGTAAAAATAGGTAATTATATTGTAAAATACCTACAGATATCTCACCTAAGCTTGAATAAACGATTTAAAACCGAAAGCAAATTATGAACTCAAACCGCGCGCTAGGGTACGCACCGTTCAGGTTCAATCACCTTTCAGGAAGCTCGACCAATTGTACACTGGGTGAACGTGACATCCGAGTTAGTACATATGATGCGTCGGTGCTAACGGTTACGTAATTGGGCGAAGGCCCTTCAACCAATCATTTGAGATATTTCCTTCTATAAAACATGCTCCAATTCTATCAATAAACATAAGCATTTGCTGCTATCGATTCCTCGTGCATTCCATTGGTGTCCGCAGTTTGGGTTGGGGCCAATTCAGTTCTGAGCAGTACAGTACGGATTCGCGTATACCTAAATTCAATACTGTTCTGATTACTACAATGGACCACATTGGATTTGACTCCACTTAACTACAATTCAGAAGGACCTTCTCAATCGACTATGAGAATGCAGAAGACCACGCAATAGCATGAAACCCTTTCGCAGGACCAATTGCCCACAAACAGTTTTCAATTAGAATTCTGGAAAGTTTGGCATGATAGAAAATGCAAATACTGAAACCGCTAAAATATTGGAAGTGAGGGACCGCTCAGACTAGTATTTCAGCAACGCCAGCGGAAATCTAAAAGTGGATATGATCAAAGCAGGGCAAGCGTGCGATACAGAGCTAATCGTGGGAAATTGTGCCAGTGCGGTTTATTCGAATTCATTAAAAGCACGATAATAGTAAAAACTTAACGGCGGAAGTGTCCAAGTTAATACATCCAATGACGAAAATCTGTACCACCAAATAATGGCGATATGTGCTGTTCATCGACAGTATACTCGATTGTGACCGGTTGAGAAGAAAATTTCCTTATTTTAGAAGAATAAGAACCCCATGATCCTAGTTCATATAATAACTAGGTGTGATCAGAGGATATCTGAACTTTGTTGGTTTCGGTAAGTACGCCATGGTTATGTAATCATGTCCTGATAGCCCTCACCTACACAGGATTGAATGAAAATAGGTGTTCTACTGCTATCAACCAGTGTCAGGGGAAGTTTCTTCCTGTCCTTGCTTACATGATCACGTCCAGCATAAACGAATCTATTGGTATACACAGGAAGAAGAAAGAGACGAGAAGACAGAACTTTTGGCTAAAGAACCGCTACAAATTGGCTACATAGACAGAAATTCATTTTATCAGGATGCCCCTGCATTTGCTAGAAGACTACAGCGCTGGACTAGGCACCACCACGACCTGCAACCGATGACGTTTTGGATAGCCGGATAGACGTACCGATTCCGTCGTTAGAAGTTGGAATCATCACATGAGAACGAATAAATCTGGCTCTTATTTGTCGAGTGCATAATGAGGCCGATGTCCAAATCGACTTAAATCATTGTGGGAGAATAGCGTTTTTGAGAGACTTCTATTTCATTCCCACCGGCATTTGGATGGGTTTTGTCACCGGAGAGCGTTTTGGAAAAGAGTTACCGACAAGTTTCCATATCGCTGGAAACCACTAATTACCTCAGTTCAATTATTTACGCTTTGATTACGGTCATGAAATTATGTTCTGCTCATTATCTCAAAGATATTGGTACCAAATACAGAAGTGACTCTATTCTCGAAGATTACAGGGTAAACAGAAGACGTTATACACCCCATCACTGTTCTCAACTCTGCAACCTTTCACATTCATTTCCTGAAGATGACAGCTTTACTGGTGAAACCAGATCTCGTAAAAACACTGTAGAATACAGTTCCAATGTTTCATTGAAGTGTGTAAAATTATGATGAAAAATTTACAGACACGGCATTTCTCACGTGCACGTCTATGAGAAGCCGGAGTGAACAATGGGTATGCAGGGAATAGGAAAGAATGAAGGGCACTGCGGATATCAGGTGGTGAAGCTGATAGGTGAACCGTCGCAAGCACAAAATTTGATCGGCTCGACATACGAAATTCGAACGATAAGTATACCCGGAATAAGTGGATGGATATGCAATTTTGTTACGCTAGCGCAACCGGACAACTCCCACTACATGCAACCTGGGGAGCGGAAGGGTGGGTTTAAATGTACAGAGAGAGAGATCCACAAACGAAGTGGTGGGTCCCGAGAGAGTTTTTCTCTTGGTTTCACTTCTCCCAGTGAGCAGATGTGAACACCACTGGTCAGACTAGTTCGATGTGTTTGGTAATTTGCATCAGGATTAAGGGGCAAAATGGACAGAGAATATTTGTCTTGGGAAGGGGACCGTGGTTCTAAGTTCACTGGACTTTTCGGATTGAGATAGAGAGCATATAGTAAAAAATAATGGAACGAGGTAAACGTCAAGCTATGGACAAGAAATTAGAATGGGGACAATGATTATGGAATGGGTGCCCTGAGTGCATCCATTCGCGCTGATCAGACAATTGCAATTACTTCAGAATATCATCATCAATATGTGGTTCGATGTTGGTGGAATTGGAACGGACAGCAGAAACGTTAGCACGAATGGCTGATTATCAAATGAATGAAATATGATGTGTGAAGTGGGCTTGGAGTCAGGGAACGGGACAGCTGTGACGGGGAAATAGCAGAATAAGGAAAACATCTGCTGGGCAACTAAGTGGCCAATGAGCGACTGGATTGTTTCTATGAAATGCAGTGCAAACAGATTACTAATGTCAAGGATGTTTTGTGATCTATTCATGTAAGAATGAAATCCGGCAAAAATAATGAACTTACAGAATGCAGAAAGAGAGAATAAAATGAAAGCAACGAATGAGCGGGTTGGTTTAGATTGATGATGTCTAGTGGAATAAATTGTGTATGAACGAGAAAGAATGAACGTGTTTGTATCTCGGACGGCATATATACGGTGGTAGTACAGTTCCTGAATAGGGGACGTCATAACCGTCACCGAAATGCGATGCTCAGATGTGTCATCATTAGGTGGGAGTAATTGGCCATTAAGCTGAGAATGAGCGTGCCTTCACACATACACACACGGACATAGTTGTGAACATTCGCAGTAGGCTAAACGGTGCTCGGGTATGGTTGATTGTCAAGCTAAAGAAATAAGTGAGCGAGCATACACGTTGGAGGTTGTTCGATTGGCTTTGTACATTAGATAAATATAAACCTCCGAAAATCAAAAAGACAAACATTGCACAGTCATGGAGTGCGAGAATGAGATGTGATCGTGGGTGTGTGTGCACACACTGGCGCGGACGAAAATGGAAGAGATGTCAACATGTACGAGGGCTTGATTCGGCTGTCGGTTCGGTGGATTTGAACAGTAGCGTATGGATGGAGTTTAGACGCTCCAACACGCACGTGGCACTTAGTCGTGCTTCCGGCTCGGAATCCCAAGATTCTGTAATGGTCCGATAGAATTGAGCGTACAACTGTTGCAGACGAGAGGACAATGGCAGCATTGGGCAGTGAAGAATGGACAAAAAGAAACAGGATGAGATGAATTACATGAGTGGGGGATTCAATACAGCATAGTGAGAAGCTAAATACTGAATGGTCTGTGAGAAAATCTGAAGTCCAGTAAGAAAAGGAATCAACATGAGTTACAATACACGATAACTGATGCACACATGAAAAAAAGAATACCAGGACGGCGGTAGTTTAGTTTTCATTGCACTAATCAGGAATTCAGAAGTTCAAGTCCCACTGACATCGTCCGGCTTTTCCCTTGCTATATATGCCCCCAGGAAGCACCCGGTTGGCTGTAGACCATTAGCATCCTGAAAGTTGTCTGCACGGTGATAGATTCAATTCACGTCAGTGACAGGAATAACTTCTATTCTGCTTTGCTTCTATCCTGTCATCAAGAATCCGTGTATCACTCGTTCCCATAGGAAACGTGAGTGATAGATGAAAATAAACGGATTACGTATCCGGGGAAAAATAATCCGACCCGATGGCGATTTCACAAAAAAGTACTACATGCAGGCTATTGGCAAACTTTTGTTAATTCAGGGAAGAAATGATTCAATCGGGGCGGGAGGGGACTTACGCGCGAAAGACTGAACGATCCACCGAAATTGTAGTACTGTATTTGAAGCTGAATTCAATAATTATCACCTATGTGGACTGCACGTGAGTCCATCAACTCGGTCAACTGAGCCAGTGCAGTGCCGGTGGAATATGACAAAAATCAGTGACATTAAATAACCAAATAATCGAACTAAGTATAACCGAAAACTAGATGTTGTGTCGATGCTCACATGTAAGCTGAGTAGATCACGTGAGTGGACATCTCAATTTCAGTCGATATTTACGCATTGAACCAAGTAAATCTCAGGTTTTAGTTTTATGGGAGGAGTGATCGGGCGATTCACTGTTTCACAAGGGTGGCATAAACCACTCGATCTACTTTCTACATGTGACAGTTTAGCAGTCAATGTGTTTACAATCTGTAGCCTATGGGAAGATAAACACACCATTCCGACAAGCACCCCCCACACACACACCGCAACGCGTAAGGTTACAGCAAGTTTGAAGTTTTGACCCAGTTACGCGACTTGGCAGTCTGATACAAGTCACGTGAAAATCTCTTATTTGCATAAGGCGCACAAAAAGAAGTTTTGATGTTTCATTGCAAAATATCACTTCAGAGTTCAAAAATACAGGTTCAACGATTTTTCTAAACTGTGCTTGTTAAATGTAACACAAGGCGCGGATCATCTGAGCAGTTTTATGTTTGTAAGCTCGTATCAAAATTCTACACCGATGTTGGTTGATCTTCCGAAATGTTATGTATCTGATTCTTATTTTCCCATAAACGTGCTCATACTGCTCGTGTAAGCACTGAGAGCTTTCTCAATCGAAATAAAAATTTAATATGTCGGGAGATTTTTGATAGCAAGTCTAGTTGCCAGTATGGCGTCACCTGCCTGTCGGTGGACTGGACTACTGCCAAGAGGAATCAACACATCAGTAGCCATTTAAAAAAAATACACACCAAGAAATCCGTCAAAAACCTTAGCGTTTAATTTAGTATAACAGGCTTTGTTGTAAACCTACAAAAAATTATTCACATTTCCGAAACTCTGCTTTTAAAAATTGAAGTGATATTTTCCGAGAAAAATAAAGAAAATTTGCTCTTGTGTTCCACCACATTCCAGTTGAAAATTTTCACGTGACTCATACTAGGGTGCCAAATTACGTAAGCCGGTAAAAACTTGAGGCGTATTCTGACCTTAGGCGTTAGCGTTGTGACAAAGGTGTGTTTATTCCCTTTCGGTAGGTTGAAAGTAGTGCCAGCGGCTGCTATCAATGGTCAATTGCAAAAAATGACATAGTTTGGCTTCTATTTCATAGACTCAATAAAACAGTTTAAGCAAGCAGTCGACAACTAACTTCGCAAGACAATTATTAGGTAATCTTCAATGTGGAGAAAAAAACTGGACAAGAAATGCGGTGACTCTAAATACCACCACCAACATTCTACTTACCGGGGACTCGAACCACGATGTATGTGCATACGGACGGTGCTTTTGCATGGATACTAAATGACGTACTGTTTCCGGGTTGGGACCATTTCGACCCAATTCTAATTCATAGGGTAACCAAACACGACGTGGTTTACACAAGGAGGCAACACCAGTAGATGGCATAAGCAGTTCGACAACCTGTTTTTGTGTATTCGTGTGTACCGTTGGATCCGTAGTGTTAGTACCGGTTTGCAATAGTTCGACCGATGTCGGAGGCACTGCGGCGCTGAGCAATTCCCACAGGCATAAACTAAGCGAGTAGATATCTGTACAAAGAATTGATCGTCCGGTGAACTGAATCGCTCCGTCCAGAATTTCCGGGGCCATATACCGTAACGTTCCCGCCTCGTATTAATCGTACATGATGCGTCAAATAGAGGGTTTCAGAGAGGAAGAGAATAGCACAGGGTGAAGCCGTATAAAAATGCACAAAACAGTAGAACCCAATTAATAAGATAACCTAAGTACCGAATTTGAGAAAATAAAGGAATCTTAGGAATTCCATTTCCGATAGAAAAATTACGAAAAGCTTGACAACATATTTTCCAATCGTTTGCTCAGATTGGTCGGAGAGTATCAGAGGATATCAGATACTACTGTCGCTCCTGCAGCGTGAAATAGTTTGCCTGATGATTTTCCGGAGACGATTGTTAATTCATTATAGGGGACCATTATTCGGGGATTGTACCCTTATCATGGTTGACCAATTCCTAGCATTTCGCGCTTCCGGTAGCAATCAATAGACCCAACTTACCAAAAGTTAAATGCACACTTATGTACCACAATCATCTTACCAAACTAACAAAACACATATGGGCACTATTGTTATTATCATCATCATCATCATCAATACGATTATTTTAGCGGAGGCTTTTGAAACAGGAACATTTACCGATAAGCGGTTCCACCTGACTGAAACTGACTGGCACTGTACACTTGCATAGCTGCAATGTAAGATAATTTGATAAGTCAAACGATTTTTTGTGAGTGCAGGCGCTCACACAGAACTGTTGAACTTAAGGTATACGCAGTAAAACGGCTCAACAAAAACCGAACAATTCGAGTTCTTTGCGAGCATTAGAAGGAACCACAAGGGAAACTAGATTCATGACTCGATCCTGAGAGCTATAGGAGCGCATTTGATGTTAAACTGCGATGGATATATAATGGGTTGTGTAAATGAAGTGTCACAACTGAACTTTTACGAAAGACATGAGTCATTTTGTGACCCTACGTTCCGATTTGCGTTCAGTTTTGTTTGTTTGCCAGTGAGGAACCAAAAACTCAGTAGTAGGTGATAAATATAATGAAACTCAACTTGACTACAAAGAAAATATTCTAGTACATCACGATCGACCAGTACTGTAGTACTCCCATTTGTGAGTAGTAATAAGCTGGGAGTGTGCAGAAGCATACAATCGATGGTTTCTCATAATGATCAAAATGGATTAGACCTCCTGTAGCGAATACGCGTTTCAAACTGCAACTACAGACAATGCACTTTTAATGACGAACAGTTCCTGCTTGCTGGTGGAGATTATTATTGACGTCTCGTTCTATGTACTCCAATTTATTGATAGCTTTATTTTTCATTTTACCTCCTTTTATCGAATACACAAAGATACAATTTTCAGAAAGGGGGAAGCGGTCAATCAAAGGGATGCCATTCAATACACAATGGGGAAAGTCAGATGGCGATGGGGTTTGAACACACATCGGAGGAATGATATTTCGGTAACCTTACCACCGGACCACCTAATAAACAACTCTCCTCAATCCGGCACCTGTCCTGTGGGATTATAACAGTAGAACGGATAAGTGCTCAAGGTCTGGCGTGGTCATTTATAAAACGAAGCAAACATGAAACTATTCCTTCTTAGCCTTGATTTCAAATAAGTCCACAGTGACAAACATATTAGTATAAGAACATTCAGGACGTTGACATTCAAGCGGGGAAGTCACCGTCATATTGACTCAGAGGTGGAGTATTGAATTCGACAACAGTCGGCTAACGTCTCCTGTCTCGAGATATCTTCTCATTCCTAGAGGTAAATTATGTGAGTGGTTGACATGTACAGTAATTAAAGCGGCTATTATATCAC